AAGTTCTCCAGATCCCTCCCAAGGACACCTCCTTTGTTCTGCCTGCCCTCTACTCTCTGACCCTCTGGATGATTTTTATTCACCTGCTCTAGGTGGGCTTTGCCTCCACCATCAGGCTAGGGGTTCCCTGAGGACAGATTCTGTGTTTCCCCCATGAGGCTGAGGGCTCTCTGAAGATAAAATCTAATTCTTAAGCCTGAGCCCCCAAAATGTCCCGTCTGATTTCCAAACTCCTGCCTAAGGGCCGGATTCGAGGGTTTGAGCTGGGACAAGGGGGCAACCTCCTCAATTATCTCCTGTCCTGTTGAGGGAAGCCAGGAGGGGCAGAAGAGGCCTCTGAGGGCCCCTGGGAGGCTCCCCAGATGCAGGGAAGCAAGGTAGGACGTGGAGGAGGCTGCCCTGCATGGGGATCAGGGCTCTGCAGACAGAGCAGCGCTGTAAGGCGACCAGCCTGGACACCTGTGCTCCTCCCACAGTCTCAACCTGGCACGGCCCCAGAACCCACTCAGCATCCTCTTTGACCTACTGCCCCGGCTGCCTCACCTCCTCGTGATTCTTCCGGAGGTAGACCAGCTCCTCCTTGAGGTTCTCGATCTGCATCTCCAGGTCGGCTCTGGCCAGGGTCAGCTCGTCCAGCACCCTGCGCAGGCCATTGATGTCGGTCTCCACGCTCACGCGCAGGGCCTGCTCCGTCTCGAACCTGCGAAGGAAACCAGAGACTTCGTCAAGATGCTTGGACTGGCAGGTGCAGGTTCTGGCCAGCACCCCGCCTCCGAACGATGAGGGGGTAGAGTAGAAGCCCATGGCAGCCCTGGGAGCCTGGGGGCCCCACCCCCACCCTGCCTCCTGGCTTCTCTCCCCTCTGCCCCCCGCCTCCCCTCTCACTCTTCCATCACCTGACTAAGCCCAGCAACCTTCGGCATCTGCTGCGTTTGCTGCATCCTGGGCTAAGAGGTGCAGGACTCTTAGCAGGGACTCCCCCACCCCCAGCTCCTGGACCTTGCCACCAGCAACTGAGGAGTCCTGGGGTACAGAGGGGTGCCCCCAGTTCCTCCCCAGTCCCCCCTGGCCAGGGCTCACTTGGTGCGGAAGTCATCAGCAGCCAGACGGCTGTTGTCGATCTGCAGCAGGACGTTGGCATTGTCTGTGGTGGCCATGAGGATCTGGGAAGATGGGAGAGTAATCAGGTCACTGGGTGGGAGTAGCTCAGCACAGACCAGGGTTCTGAGGTGGGTCTCTCTGTCTGGGGGCCAGGATGTGGCTGCCTCCTCCAGGAAGGCTCCCATCCCACCCAGCCATTCCCCTTTACTGCATTACAGTTTGTGAGAGAGGCGGGACCGGCCTGAGTCTGATGGCTGAAACCTTGCCCCCCTCCCCTATGCCAGGCTCTGCCTTAAACCAGAGTGGAAAGCCATCTGGGAGTGCCAGGCAGGAGAGCAAGAAAAGAATGGGAGGATGCCCCAGGGCAGAAGCTGTTCCCAAATCCTGGAAAGAGGACAGATATGGGAAACCTCATTTTACATTTGGGGATATAGTGTCCCTGAGAGGCTCCCCCCAAAAGGAAGACTAAAGGAACCCTCACCAAAGAGTAGTTCCAAATCAGAAGTCATGACCCCTGCTAAGTCCTGACCCCGGGCTCCAGCTGGCAGCCCTGGCCCCACCCCAGGTTTGCTGAGCCCCAGTCTTGAGGGCACAACAGGAGAGATGGGGAAGCCAGAAAAATCCCCAAATAAGGCAAACAAGTGGCTCCTGAGGTCCCGCCCCCTCTCTCTCACCTCCTCCTCCTAGCAGGTGCCAGCAGGAGCTCACTCAGACCCCTGACCCCACCGTAGCCTTAAATCTCCCTCTTGTTCCAAGGAAAGAGGTGCCTGAGTATCCGGCGACCCCAGGGACCCAGCCCTCCACATGCATCCATTCATCTTATCCTACAATCACACAAGGTGGCAAAAAGCTCCATGATGGGAAACTGAGGCTCAAAGGAGCTCCACAAGGCCTGCTTGTCCCTAGCCCAGGCCGCTGCCCCAAAAAAAGAGACCATAGGCCACAAGGTGGCCCCAAGATGGGCTCCCAGAAGCCAAGCCGGATCCAAGCTGTCCTTAGTTCCCCAAGACCCTGTGGCAGCCCCCAGGCTGGACTCCAGGCCTTGGTCAAGGGCAGGAGGTAGGGGAGGAAAAGCCGTGCCCCGCCAGGTCCCCTCCCACCATAGCCCCTACCTTGTTCCGCAGGTCCTCGATGGTCTTGAAGTAGGCGCTGTAGTCCCTGATCTCAGTGGGCCGTTGCTTCTGGTACCAGTCGCGGATCTTCACCTCCAGGTCAGCGTTGGCCTCCTCCAGGGCACGTACCTTCTCCAGGTAGGAGGCCAGGCGGTCATTGAGGTTCTGCATGGTGGCCTTCTCGCTGCCCCCCAGCAGCCCATCACCACCTCCAAAGCCACTGCCATAGCCACCAGTGCCATAGCCGCCACTGCCACAGCCGCCGCCAGAGCCAAAGCTGTAGCAGCTAGAGTAGCTGCCACCCCCAGGGGCATTGCCCAGGCTGCCAGACAGCTGGCAAGAGGTGAAGGACAAGCTGCCCCCCAGGCCAGAGGAGCCCTTGATGGAGTTGGAGGAAGAGAACTGGCGGTTGGTGGTGGTCATGGCGGCGGCAGCGGGTGGCAGGCAGACACCGAGAGAGAGGGCTCGAGAGGAGAGAGGCCCAAGGTGTGTGTTGCTGCCGGGGCTCGCCCGCCTCCTTTATAGGCCCCAACAAATGGGCGTAACGATTACAACAGGTTCGCTCCTCTGTTCCCATTCCCCTGGGCTTTCATCACCGCTGGCTGCCCGCCAGCTCCCAGGTGGCTGTGGGTCCCCTTCCCTCCCACCGTCGGGGCTTTGCATCATTTCTCCGAACCCCCGTGCTGGGCGTCTGCTTGTGTGTATGTGCGTGTCCCTGGTCTCAGGCCTGTCACCTGTAATTCAGGCAGGCCCTTCAGCTACGCTTTCCCATGACCTAATATGGACAAGAGGAATAAGCAGGACGTCACCGTCACAGAGCCCTCCCAGGCAGCTGCCCCCAGCCACACACCACGTCACACACCACGCCACACATGATCCTGGCCCTGGGCGAGGTGCAGGGGAGACAGCGGGGACCGGTACCCCATCCTGCCTTGGAAACTAGACCCAAACCCACCAGGCTCACCACACAGTAGCTCGGTCAGGTCTCAGATTACCACCCCATTTACAGATAAGGAAACTGGGGCTTGTAGAGGGCAAGTGTCCCACCGCCCCACCTAACTCAGAACAGGGCTGGCAAGACTTCTTTCTTCATGGCACCCTGCCACAGCACCTATATGCCTCCCCAGGGGCCTGTGACACACTGGCCCCCTCCTGCAGAGCCCTGACACCTAGGAAGCGCTGCAGGGGCCGTGGTTCCCTCTGTCCAGTTTTCTGACCCTGTCCCCATCCCTGGAACCCCCTGGAGACCCAGCGTCCTTTTCTGACCTTTCCCCATCTCTCTCTCTCTCACAAGTGGGAAGTCGTGGGCTGGAGTGGGCAAAGGGGAGCTTAGCCGCAGGCTGGGGAAGTGGCAGGCTGAGAGAGGGGCGTCGTGGTAAAGGCAGGAGGAAGAAGAGTGAGGGGCAGGCCCCTTCCACCCTCCTCACCCCTCCTATTCCCCAAGAGGCCTCAGGCAGGGGGCACATACCTTTGGGTCCCAGCCAGCTGGAAAACTAAAGGACACTGCCCAAGAAGAGGGTCTTCCTGAGACCCCGGCCCTGGCCAGTCCCCTCCCCCTACTCCCCCTCCCCCTCCCCCTC